ATTGCGTCACTGTGGCGGGCCTTCGGTGGAGCTCCCTATGGGGCCACGAAGCGCTGCCCTGGCTGGGGGAACCGCATGCGAGCGCAGCCACTGGGGCCTTCGGTGGAGCTCCCTCTGGGGCCACAAAGCGCTGCCCTGGGTGGGGGAACCGCATGCGAACTGCGCCACTTGGTCACTGGTGCCTTCGGTGGAGCTCCCTATGGGGCCACGAGGCACTGCCCTGGGTGGGGGAACCGCGTGCGAACTTCGCCGCTGGGGCCTTCGGTGGAGTTCCCTATGGGGCCACGAAGCGTTGCCCTGGGTGGGGGAACCGCATGCAAACAGCGCCACGGGGGCCTTCGGTGGAGCTCCCTATGGGGCCACGAAGCGCTGCCCTGGGTACGGCAACCGCATGCGAACTGCGCCACGGGGGCCTTCGGTGGAGCTCCCTATGGGGCCACGAAACGCTGCCCTGGGTGGGGGAAGCGCATGCGAAAGCAGCCACGGGGGCCTTCGGTGGAGCTCCCTATGGGGCCACGAAGCGCTGCCCTGGTTGGGGGGACCGCATGCGAACTGCGCCACTGGGGCACTGGGGCCTTCGGTGGAGCTCCCTATGGGGCCACGAAGCGCTGCCCTGGGTGGGGGAACCGCATACGAGAGCAGCCACTGGGGCCTTCTTTGGAGCTCCCTATGGGGCCACGAAGCGCTGCCCTGAGTGGGGGAACCGCATGCGAGAGCAGCCATCGGGGCATTCGGTGTGGCTCCCCATGGGGTCACGAAGCGCTGCCCTGAGTGGGGGAACCGCATGCGAGGGCAGCCACTGAGGCCTTCGGTGGAACTCCCTATGGGGCCACGAAGCGCTGCCCTGGGTGGGGGAAGCGCATGCGAGAGCAGCCATCGGGGCCTTCGGTGGAGCCCCCCATGGGGCCACGAAAGGCTGCCCTGGGTGGGGGAACCGCATGCGAAAGCAGCCACTGGGGCCTTCGGTGGAGCTTCCTACGGACGAAACGCTGCCGTGGGTGGGGGAGCCGCATAAAAGAGCAACCACTGAGGCCTGCGGTGCTCCCTACAGGGCTACGAAGCGCTGCCCTGGGTGGGGGAACCGCGTGCGAACTGCGCCACTGGGGCCTTCGGTGGAGCTCCCTATGGGACCACGAAGCGCTGCCCTGGGTGGGGGACCCGCATGCGAGAGCAGCCAGTGGGGTCTCCGGTGGAGCTCCCTATGGGGCCACGAGGCGCTGCCCTGGGTGGGGAAGCCGCATGCGAGAGCAGCCACTGGGGCTTTAGATGGAGCTCCCTGTGGGCCACGAAACGCGGTCCTGGGTGTGGCTAACGCATGTGGCCACCCCCACTGGGGCCTTAGGTGGAGCTCCCTATGGGGCCACGAAACGCTGCCCTGGGTGAGGGAACCGCATGCGAAAGCAGCCACTGGGGCCTTCGGTGGAGCTCCCTATGGGGCCACGAAGCGCTGCCCTGGGCGGGGGACCCGCATGCGAGAGCAGCCAGTGGGGCCTCCGGTGGAGCTCCTAGTGTGGCCACGAGGCGCTGCCCTGGGTGGGGAAGCCGCATGCGAGAGCAGCCACTGGGGCCTTCGGTGGAGCTCTCTGTGGCTCCACGAAACGTGTGAGGGGTGTGCCGAGAGCAGAGGCAAGGAGGGGGAGGAGGGAGGAGGGAGGGGGCAGCGGGAGGAGGAGACGGGGGGCACCGTCTCTTCAAAACGAAGACCCAATACCACAGGATGGTTGGGAAAAACCCTGGCGAAGGACCCAACCATATGCAGTTCTGATTAACGCGTTGCCTGGTACCGCTTTCGGTGGAGCTCCCTATGGGGCCACGGAGCGCGTGAGGGACGTGCCGTAACAGGTGGGGGAGACGCATGCGGGCGGTGCCACTGGGGACTTCGGTGGGTCTCCCTGTGGGCCACGAAACGCGGTCCTGGGTGTGGCTAACGCATGTGGCCACCCCCACTGGGGCCTTAGGTGGAGCTCCCTATGGGGCCACGAAGCGCTGTACTGGGTGTGGCGGACGCATGCGGCCACACCCACTGTGGCCTCAGATGGATTTCGCTATGAGGCCAGGAATCGCTGTATTGGGTGTGGCGGACGCATATGGTTATCCCCATTGGGGCCGCAGATGGAGTTCCCTATGGGGCCACCAAGCACTGTATTGGGTGTGGCGGACGCATGTGGCCACCCCCACTGGGGCCTTAAATGGATTTCGCTATGGGGCCACGAAGCGCTGTATTGGGTGTGGTGCACGCATGTGGCCACCCCCACGGGGACCGCAGATGGAGTTCCCTATGGGGCCACCAAGCGCTCTACTGGGTGTGGCGGACGCATGTGGCCACCCCCACTGGGGTCTTCGGCGGAGCTCCCTATGGGGCCACGATGCATTTGAGGGGTGATGATAGTGGCGATGATGCTGATGATGGGGAGAGGGAGGGGGGGCAGCGGGAAGGAGGAGACGCGGGGACCGTCTCTTCAAAACGAGGACCCAACACCACAGGATGGTTGGGAACAAACAACAAAAAAGAGCAAGCCCCCCCTTCCCCCGACGGCCCCAGGGGCAGTATTTCAGGTGGGCGGAGGAGGAGGAGGAAGAGGAGGTGAGGGAAATGGAGACAAAGAGGAGGACGAGGGATCGAAGGGAGGAGGAGAGGGTGGTGACTAGTTTCTGGGAGGGGTGGGCCTCTCGGTTGTATTTACGGCAAGTGTGTTGTTTCGGGGGTCGAGCAGGTTACAAGGAATTTGTCAAAACAGAAAGGTATACCCCTCCTCCCCGTCACGTTCATCGTCGTCCATCACCTCGCCATGATCCTCGTCCTCCTGGTCTCGCTCATCCGCCGCGTCCTCTTCCTACTCCTGCCCTCTTCCCCTCTCCCCCTGCCCCTCCCCGCCCCTCATCCCATTCTAATCGGTCCTGCTGGTGCTTCTCCTTTCTTCCCTTCCTCCTATCCCCCCGGCGTTTCCAACTCGTCCTCACCCCCTTTCTCCTCTTCCTTCTCCTGCTGCACCTCCTCCCTGCTTCTCCTCCCGACCCTCCTCCCGCCTGGCTGCTGTTGCTGCTGGCCCCGCTCCCGCGAGGAGAAGGCCGGCAAGAAGAAAAAGGAGAAGAGGCGCAGCTGGTTCTCAGAGGAGGGAAAGGTACAGTCGAAATCGATAGTCAGGGTGGGTAACCTTCCCAACGGTACCCTTGCACCCATGCCTCCTCAGTCCATGCTCAGCCCCTGTCGATGGCCAGCCCCGCTCGGAAAGCTTCGACATGGGCGTCCAGGAGGCTTGCATTCTTATCGCGCATCCACACTATCAGTTCTGACCGTACCGATCTCGCTACCCGTGCTTCGGCTTGGACTTATGGAGCCTGCTGGGAGGCCATCGTCGCCACCGCTGGACTCGCCCTGAAATCCTAGTCAGAACGCACCCCTGGAGAGGTCCAGGGCGCAGCGATATTGGTACCCTTCGGTTGCCCTAATTAGGTTCTCCGGCGGCGGCGACGGGGGCACGGACTCGGAGACGCGGCACGGGAAGGCCAAGGACGCGAACGAGTCGGACGGGAGCAGCTTCAAAAATACGCCCGTGCCTCAGCTCGAAGGGGAAGAGGCGGCACAGACACAAGCCTTCGGAGGAGGAGGAGGAGGAGGAGGAGGAGCAAGGAGCGAGGAGCGAGGAGCGAGGAGCGAGGAGGAGGAGGAGGAGGCGGAGGAAGAGGCAGAGGCAGAAGAGGAAGAGGCGGCACAGACTTTTTGGTCGGCGGGGCGAGAGCGAACCTCTTCCGCTGAAAGCTAGGCGGGCCACGCACAGCTCTAATTAGGGAGACAGGGCACAGGCGGGCGGGGCCTCAGGCGGCCAAGAAGAGGCGGCACAGGCACAAGCCTTCGGAGGCCTGCGCAGATCTCGTGGACCCGGCCGGCGCGCTCCGTGCGCCGAGGGGGGGTTGCTAAAGTTCATGCCGATGCCATGGGTTGTCTTTCGATGGGCGCCTGCCGATCACGCGCCTGCGAGCCCTCGCGTGGGATGCGCTCCAGGAGGGCGTTGCCTTTTTATACTCTGGCGCGCAGCGGTCGCTACCTGGGCCAAAACCCCCGGTGCCCCCATCCAGGTGAGGGTAACGATCGCACATACGGTGGCCCTGGACCCCTCCGACCCACCGTCCCGACGTGCCCCGCCCCACCCAAGCGTTACAAGTATCTGGCGCCCAAGCCCCCTCCAGGGTGAGCCAGGCGAGAGTCGTGCTTGTCTCGTGATCTCCCCGTTCGTGGCGCGGGGTCCTGCTGGCAGGACCTGGCGGCGAAGTTCCAAAGCTCAGGCTCCCGTCCATCACCGTCGAACCCGAGAGTGCTGCGCTTGTGCGCCTCGAGGGGCGGCAGCACTCAAAGAGCACCGAGCAGCTCCTCGTCGCCCCGAGGAGCGCCACGCCCGAGAGAGGCCCCGCCGCTCCCCGAGAGGACGACCGTCCACCGGGCAGAGGGCCAGCCCTCGAGGGGCCGAGGGGGGCCCGCCCTTCCCCCTCGACCCTTCTCGCTCCTTCGATTCCCCCCCCCCCCTCCTCCCCCCTCCTCCTCCTCCTCCTCCTCCTCCTCCTCCTCCTCCTCCTCCTCCTCCTCCTCCTCCTTCCCCTCCTCCTCCTCCTCGCCCTCCTCCCCCTCCTCCCTCCTCCTCCTCCCTCCTCCTCCTCCTCCTCCTCCTCCTCCTCCTCCCTCCTCCTCCTCCTCGGCCTCCTCCTCCTCCTCCTCCTCCTCCCCCTCCCTCCTCCTCCTCCTCCTCCTCCTCCTCCTCCTCCTCCTCCTCCTCCTCCTCCTCGGCCCCCTCTCCGGCCCCCCCTCGGCCCCTCGACGCCTCCGGTCGGCGGCGCGGGCCGGGCGCGGGCCGGCGGAGGGCGGCGGAAGTCGAGCGGGGGCGGCTCTGGCGGCGGAAGCCGGCGGCACCAGGGCTCAGGCTGTGGCGAAGCGTCCTGGCATGCCTGTGGGCCTGCCAGAGAATGTTCCAAGAGCCAGTTGTGGCTTCCACGAGATGTTCTTTGAGCATTTCTGGCTGGGGTCGTCTTGTTTCAGCACATCGGGTTCATGCCCTAAGAACATTGGTTGTGTTCTTCGAACATCTTCTGGGTTTGAGAACATGTCGAGGTAGGCCTGAATGTCGGGACGGTCGGTCCCTGCTCAAAGGGTTGGGGCACGAAGATACCCACCTGTCTTTGCTCGCTCTTCGTCGGGTTTCTAGTTCAGCATAGTGCCTACTGTACACCAGCGTCGTCCACTCGGTAGCTTAGAGCCCCACAGGAGACCTCCTGCGCCGACTGTGATCATTGGGGGCAGTGCGCTACGAACGGAAGCAACAGGAAGCTGGATGGGCCAGCCTGGACGAGAGTTGGATACACGTGTGGCCAGGTGTCTCGCGCGGCCTGCTGAGCGCGCGTGCGGACTGACTGCAGAACTGCGACGTGAAACATGTGACCAGATGTCTCTCCAACGCTCGACCCTCGTGTGGCCATGCACGTTGGTCCTCCACGCGTGTATCCAGCAGGAGGCCTCCAGATGTTCCACGTGTGGTTCCGGCCATGTGTGTTTCCAGCTTCTTGAGTTCAGATTTAAGTCGAATCGGCTCCAGAGATTTCCAGAAGGGTTCGTTGGACAAGCTTGGTGTCCTGAGGCCCCCCCAGCCGACCTGAAGCCCCCTGGCTCGACCAAAGGCATCCCAGCAGCTGTCGAAACCACCCTTCGTGAACCAGATCTGCTCGCCGTTGCCGACGGCTCCATGTAAGAGTGACCTTTCGCTCGCTGAGGTAACATGTGTCGGCCACGCGACGGGGGGGGGTGGGGGTATGGTGGAGGGGGAAAGGCTTCTTAGAAGCACCCCTGCTTCTCAGAAGGCGCGGGCCCTGTCTGCAGATGTACGGCGGGCGCCTTCTGAGAAGCGGCCTCCTTCTGAGAAGCCTCCCCCCCTCCCTCTGCCCCCGAAGCGGCCTCCTTCTAAGAAGCCTCCCCCCCTCCCTCTGCCCCCTTGTGCGCGCCGCTGCCCGCCGTTGCCGGCGGCTCCACGCAGGAGTGGCCTCCCGCTCGCTGGGGCAGCATTCGGTGCGGGCGCCCACGCCGGCCCCCCCCCCCCCCTCCTCCTCCTCCTCCTCCTCCTCCTCCTCCTCCTCCTCCTCCTCCTCCCTCCTCCTCCTCCTCCCTCCTCCTCCTCCTCCTCCTCCTCCTCCTCCTCCTCCTCCTCCTCCTCCTCCTCCTCCTCCTCCTCCTCCTCCTCCTCCCCCCGAGGGCAGAGCGCGGTGCGAGAACTGGCAGCGTCTTGGTTCGTGCTCGGGTCTGGCCTCCCCCCCTGCGGCCCCCGAGCGTCGCGCACCGAGGGCCACGCTCGCCTGTGGGGCCACGTCTTGCGCGCAGCCTGAAGTCGGGCGTGCCCCTCGACAGGAGGAATATGCAAGAGCAGTCAAAGATAGTCGGGGGAAGATGTTCGTTTTTTATGTTGTTTTGAATATGTTCTGATTGTGTTCCATATTTCTTCCAACATCCGTCTGTAGGGGGACGTACCAGGGCCACTCATGCGTGTAGCCGGTTGATGAACAGAACACATAATCACGGAATGCCGTTTGAGACAGACGGGACAATCTATATATATATATAGAGAGAGAGGCATTGGGAACCACCATCATCATCAGCGTTTTTACCCCACCCATCATCAGCACCATCACCATCACCATCATCATGAGCAGCAGCATCATTATTTTGCTTATTAGCATTATTATTGGTATCAGTAGTAGTATTACTAATAGTGATATGAATACTAATCCTAACACAATTATTATTATTCTTGTATTATCATTATTACTATCAGTACTTGTATTATTAATGTTACTACTAATATTATTCGTATTATTATTCTTATTAACATTATTATCATCATCATCATCATCACCATCAGCATCTTCATCCCACCCATGGGGCCACCGAGTGGGCGATGAGGATGTTCGGTGGGTGAAGCACGAGACCGATTTCTCAGTGGGGGCTGGGCGTTCTTGTTCCCCGCACCTGTGATCATAGAGACTTTCCTCGTCACCACCGCAGAGGAGATTCCATTGAACATAGATTGTTGGAGCTACGCGAGGATTTCTTCGGTCGACCCCCTTCCGGGCGCGCGGAGGGCGCCAGGGGCGGCGCCGCAGTCGCTACCAGGGGAGGCCCAGCGCCGATCCACGAGATCCGCGCGCACCTCCAGCATCTCAAGTTGAATCCTCCGTTCGCCTAACAAGACATGCACACCGATTGGGATTCGGGGCTCCTGGAACGAGCCGTGGTACGTCGCATCTTCGGGGGGCCTCGTCTGTCCTGCCAACTGCGGTCTTTTCGTGTACCCGACGCGGGTCCGGCGTGGATTCGGCACGGATCCGGCGTGGGTTCGACGGCGGTTCGACGCGGATCCGGCCTGTTGGACATGGATTCCGCGCGGATTCGACACGGATCATTGGGCGCGATCAGGGGGCCACATGCAAACCCTACCCCTGGCCCCCACGATTTCTGAGGGGGAGGGTGGGATTCACCTCGTTCGAGAGCTCCCGAGCGAAGTGAACCCCACACTCCCCCTTAGAAATCGTGGGGGGGTAGGGTCAGGGTTCGCATGTAGCCCCCTACCGATAGGACAGGGGAGGCCCTTCGAGGATGCAACGCAGGGCTCGTCGACGAGGGGTGCCTCTTGCCTCGAGGCTGGGCTGCTCGTCGCGCCCTGTGGCCCCGTGGCCCTGCCCCGCGGGTGCAGGCCCGACCCTGGGGGCCTCCTCCTCCTCCTCCTCCTCCTCCTCCTCCTCCTCCTCCTCCTCCCACCCCCCCTCCTCCATCCTCCTCCTCCTCCTCCTCCTCCTCCTCCTCCTCCTCCTCCTCCTACTCCTCCTCCTCCTGCCCCTCCCTCCTCCGCCTTCCCCCGCCTCCTCCTCCTCTTCCTCTCACCCTCCTCTCCTCCTCCTCCTCCTCCTCCTCCTCCTCCTCCTCCTCCTCCCTCCTCGTCCTCCTCCTCCTCCTCCTCCTCCCTCCTCCTCCTCCTCCTCCTCCTCCGCCTCCTCCTCCGCCTCCTCCTCCCTCCTCCCTCCTCCTCCCCTCCTCCTCCTCCTCCTCCTTCTCCTCTCGTCCTCCTCTTTACTCATCCCTCCTCCTCTCCTACCTCCTCCTCCTCCTCTCCTCCTCCTCCTCCTCCTCCTCCTCCTCCTCTCCCGCCTCCTCCTCCTCCTTCTCCTCCTCCTCCTCTTCCTCCTCCTTTTCCTCCTCCTTCTCCTCCTCCTCCTCTTCCTTTCTCTTCCTTCTCCTTCCTCCTCCTTTTCCTCCTCCTTCTCCTCCTCCCGCTCAAAATCGGTTCCCCTACCCCTGCCGGGGTCCACCATGTTGCAGTCTCTCACCCTCCGCATCCGTTTTCCCGACGCTACCGCAAGGGGGACCCGAGAACAACCCCGGGGGGGCCGAACAAGGCAACAAAAGCGTCTCGAGCCCAGCATCCTCGCTCGGGGCTTCGTACACGGGGGTTTAGCTCAACGGGGGCTTACGCTTCTCCATGTGCCGCCGTTCAGTGTGCCCCCGTTGATGGCGCGCAGGCCCCCCAAACGGGGGCATCGCCAAACGTGGGAGCCGGCGTTCCCCGTGCCCCCGTCTGCTGTGCCCCCGCCTTTGGCGCCCTGGCTCGCCCCCCCAGTCCAGCTGGCCGGAACAATTGCTGAGCCACCTCAGGCCCCCAGCCGGCTCTCCAAGGCATCGGAGCGGCCGTTTTTTTTGGGGGGGGTCGGGAGGCGCTCGGGTCGAGGAACGGCCCGCGACCTGTCTCAAGACGAGGCGAAGCGCGGCGCGCGCCAAGACAGTCCCCGGGAGGAGGAGGCGGAGGAGGAGGAGGAGGAGGAGAAGGAGGAGCAGGAAAGCGAGGGAGGTGAGGTGGCTGAGGAACGAGGGGGGAGGAGGGAGGAAGGGATGGGGCGAGGGACGGAGGAAGAGAGGGACGCAGGGACAAGGAGGAGGCGGAGGAGAAGAAGAAGAAGAAGAAGAAAGACGAGGAGGAGGAGGATGAGGAGAAGGAGGAGAAGGAGGAGGAGGAGGAAGAGAGGAGGAGGAGGAGGAGGAGGAGGAGGAGGAGGAGGAGGAGGAGGAAGCGGAGGCGGAGGCGGAGGAGGAGGAGGAGGAGGAGGAGGAGGAGGAGGAGAATATGGCTGGATCGTCGGATCAGGCCGGTGGTGGATGGCCAGACCTGGTAGGCTTGGCCTCCAGCCCAGGCCGCAGGGCGCGTCGGCGCCCAGAGACGGTGATTTTTGCCACATCGGGCGTCGGATCGCTCGAAATCAAAGTCCCTGGGCGAGGAGGTGGGCGGGAGGCAGGCTTGGCTGGTTGGCCCGTTGGTTTGGCGCTTGGTTGGCTTGTTGGCTGGTCGGATCTGGCTTCGCGGGGAAGCAGCTGCTTGACATCAGCATGCCCCCCCCCCCAGCATACTGCCCCAGCGTATGATGCACGAAGCGAGGAGGATGCGGAAGAGGCGGGGGGAGCGGGGAGGAGGAGGCGGCGGGGGCGAAGGACGAGGGCGGGGATGGGGGCGAGAAGGACCGAGTCTCGCCTTCCGTCGTTGCCATTTAGGGTCAAGCCCTCACCCTGGAGAGCGGCTGGCTTTGCAGTGCGCCCAGGGACGGCCATTTCGGCCCCTTCCGGCGTCGGAACGCCCGAAATGTGTGTCCCCGGGCGGCCTGCGGGCCGCGGGGGCCACGAGGCCGGAGGGCCATGGAATCCACGCGCCTGTTCCGGACAGTGTCCGGCCAGTGCTCCGGACGGGTTCGTTCCGGACGCAGCGCGGTGCCAACGCAGCTCGGGCATTGCCCCTGGCGCGGCTTACCGTCGACCCATCAAGTCTAGACGAACCGCCGACGGGCTTCTCATGTCAGGAGCAGGAGGTAAGAGGAAGAAGAGCAGGAGGTGAAGGGCCTTGCTGACGGATGGCGACTCGCCTTCAAAATGCGGCTGTCGTCTCAGCGGCGCGCACATCCTCGCTGCTACATGTTCACCAGATTAAGGGCGGCAAGGTTTCAATACGGAGATCGAGGACCGACTCGAGGCATTTTTGATCTAACGGAAGTGAGCAGTCCTCGACGGCAACACGGATGGATGGAGGCTTCAGTTCAAAACAACGATCCCGCTTGAGATGACCTGTTCATTCTGGCCAGCAGATGAACAGGCGCAACAGATATTCGCACAGGGGGGCTCTTTTTTCCTAACGAGGCTCTCTCTGGGCAGCCCCTTTCTCGTAGCAAAAAAGACGGCGGTCGGGCGAGCCCATGGGGCGCTCGCAAGTTCTGAGGACGGGAGTTGAGACGGGAGGGTGCTCTGCAGCATCCTGGATTGGCTCTGGTTGATTTTCCTCTCCTTTCTCTTCCTTCTCCATGCCCTCCCCGCCTCCCCAACTCCTCAGGGCCCCCCTCCTTCCCTCCATCCCGCGCGCTCGTTCCAGCGGGCCGCCGGCCACGAAGGTCCGTGCCGACGACCTACAACGAGATGTTCGCATTCAACGCGGCCGTCATGGGCTTCGGTCAGAACCTATGGATGAACGAGGTGCAGCGGACGAAGAAGCTTATGATTCAAGCGTTTCCACCGTCGAGGACGCCTGTCCCAGGGCGGCCGAAGAGTTCCAGAAGGGGAAAAAGGACACAAATACGAGTAAACGTCGATGCCCAGGAAAATACTGGAAAGCATGAGGAGTGGAGGAGAAGACGAAAGTCCAGAAAATACATAACACTAGGATGCATTCTTTGATGTGCTCCTGTGTGTCTGTGCCTCCCTGGGCCCCTCTCTGCGTTCTCTCTCCCCACATGCGTGCCGCCGCAGGTGTACAGACTCCCCAGCCGCCCCGGGCCAGGCGCCCCCCGATGGCGCAGCACTCGCTGTGTCACCGCTGTTCTGTGCACTGAGAGGTCATCGCGTCCTTCGACACTATCGTGACGAACGTCTCCAACTCGTACCGCCTGCAGGAGGAGTGCGACGTGCTGTCGCTGCGGCTCGCGAAGTACAGGGGCACCGTGAACCTCTCGGAGTACAAGGCTGGTCAGGGTGAGGAGGAGGAGGAGGAGGACGAGGAGGAGGAGTAGGAGGAGGAGGAGGAGGAGGAGGAGGAGGGGGGAGGAGGGGGAGGAGGGGGAGGAGGAGGAGGAGGAGGAGGAGGAGGAGGAGGAGGAGGAGGAGGAGGCGAAGGAGGAGGAGGAGGAGGAGGAGGAGGAGGAGGGGGAGGAGGAGGAGGAGGAGGAGGAGGAGGAGGAGGAGGAGGAGGAGGAGGACCTTTGTGCACTTGACAACCGTCCTGCTGCAGTTGCCTCGTCTCTCCCTTCCGCCTTCGGTTGCGGTCGGGAGCTTGTGGATCGCGTGTCGTTCCTCCGGTTTTGGCTCACCACGCTTCGGCGCGACACGCTATCCACATCCGGGTCCCCCAGCGTGGACGTCCCAAGCCTGTCCGAGCCTCCCGCCCCGCGGAGCGACACGCCATCCGCTGGCAAGGCACAGCGTGTCGCCGGGGCCGCCGCGGCGACACGCTGAGCAGAAGTTCCCGACCGTACGTCCCTGTCGCTCCGTCGTGCCGCCGTGTTGTCATTTGCCTCTGTTCCTTTGCCCTCTAGGTTTGTTCCCGTTTAAGTGTTAGTTCCCTTCGCCTCCCCCAGCGCAGGCTGAGGGCGGGGGCTACCGATGGCACCAGTCACCTGTTGACAGAGCTGCCTTCAGCTTCAGCGTCAGCAGGAACCCTCAGTGAGAAACAACGGGCCCTGCGCATCGTCGGAACAGAAAGCAGTAGCAACAGGAGGAGTAAGGGAAGGGCAGAGCAATTAGGAGTGGGAGGGGAAGAAGGATGTCGGACGGGGCTAGGACGAGGATAAAACCGGTCCAGAGCGTTCCGGAACGCTCTCATAGGGTTCTTGGACGCTCTGGGAAGGCCGCGGCGCCCGAGACATCCTCCAGAGCCGCCGGATCTCATATATTCTTGATTGATCCTCGCCCGATGTTATCCTCGTCCTGGCTTCGTCTATAGTGGGAGGGGAAGGAGGAGGGGGGACGAGGATGGAGGAGGATGAGCACGAGGCCGTCATGCTGGCCTCCTTGCGCTCTCTGGTGCCGAAGGACTGGAACTCGAATCACGAGGTCGCCCAGCACCGTGCGCTCTTCCGTTCCTCTTCCTCTTCGGGCGACGAACGCCGTACACCTCAGTATTGTTTAAACCGACCCCGATCCCCTATACCCATCCCCACCCCTATCCAGACCCCGACAGCTCGGCAACCCAGTTGGGGATATACTTTCGAAACCTGCAGGAAACAGGCGATACCCTCATCCAGGGGGGTAGATCGACCAGTGGGGCCCAGGCCACACCCGTGGGGATAGGAAGCGGCAAAACGAAGCTCAGCACAAGCACCCATCACGGTTAGGCATTTCCTGATTCCAGGAACAGTGCACACGCATGCAGAACACGCTTGGCCAGGATCGGTGCACGTGCATGTGATTTGTTCCGCCTCTTTGCCCTGGCAGATCTTCATACTCCTCCGTCTAGTTTTTTTTCCCGCAGCTGCTCCACACGCGCCCGAAAGGCTGAGGACCAACAGCCTCTTCCAAGTCGTCAAGCCCTGGTGCCCGTCACCCTCCTGGCCCTCTTCGTCGGCGTCCTCTCCCTCCTCTTCCTCTCGAGCGGCCCAGGCTCGACGCCCAAGGCAGCCCAGTGCTTTGGCTTCCCTGCGCTCGTGGAGTCTGGTTGCGCCAATGCTGCTAATCCTGCTAATCTTTCTCTCGAGCGTCGGGGCTCGAGCTATTTTCGCGTAGCGTCGGGGCTCGAGCGTCGGGGCTCGAGCGTCGGGGCTCGAGCTTCGGCGCGTCCGCGTAGCGCTGCCTGGGCGCCGTGCCGCCCGCCGCAGAGCAGCTTCCCGGGATTGGCCACCGCAGGGCCGGCGCCGCGAAGCTTGAGCGGCCGGCTCTCGCGGCGGCAGGGCCGCGGCAGGGCAGCCGAGTCGGGGGGGTCAGTCGGGGGCAGTGGGCCCCGTGGCGCGGATGTGGCGCGCACGAGTGGTTTTTTTTGGGGGGGGAGGCACCGTTGCCCGACCAGTTCGACAGTTCGAGTTTGCTGGCGCCCTCCTCGCAGCCTCCCGAGCCGCTATGCGGGCCCGGGTGGCCTCCAAGCGGGGCGGAGGGGCGGCAGAGGCTTTCAAAGCAACCCGCCCGGCGACTTCCAGAACGACCATGGCCTCCTCCTGCTTGCCCACCTGTTCTTCAGGCACCTGTTCTTCAGGCTCGGTGGCGCGGATGTGGCACGCACGAGCGGAATGGTAAGATCGAGAAAAGCGGGGTGAAGTGTTCTCGCTGCCATCGGCTGGTCGAGGTGCACCATGGTCACGGTTACGAGTCGCCGAGGCACGTTCGTTCCCAGGAGAGGTAGGAAACGAATTGATGAGACAAGCTGGCGCAGGCAAAGTCGATCCTGAAGGGCCAGAGAACTTGGCCCAAGGTCCAGCCAAGGCGCACGTGCCCAAAGCTGTCAGCGTCACCCAGAACGCCACCGTGAAGACCGTCCTCTAGGCGGAGGTGACCAAAAGGGGGGGGGGGGGGAGCAGGAGTCCAGAGGCGTAGCAGGCAGCAGCAGTGCAGGTGCGCAGGGCAGACGCTGCCTGGCGCGATGCGGAGATCAAGGACGACCAGGCCGTACGATCGGCGGCTCGCCTTTGCCAATCCCTCGCCCCCGCTGGGTAAAAGGAGCAGAAGGCGGCGATTGTTTTGGTTACAGCAGCAGCTAGGCAGACGGCAGTTCACAGGTTGGTCCACGCGTCCACGCGGAAGTCATTGTACCATACGGCGGTGGCAAAGTCGAAGATGAGAAAGATATCTCCAACCTGTCATGGGGTAAAGCCACCGCCGTTGGCATAGAGGATATCATGGCCAACCCTGAGAATGAGTTGAAGGCGGCCAAGAAGGCCATCTCTCGCCGCGAGGATGAAATCCGAGGGTGGCTGCCACGAGCGGATGCGGTTCGCAAGCAGGTCGAGGATCGCATGAAGAAGTGGCGCACGCAAGATGGCGCTGACGGTGCAGCTGTGGCGGCCGAAGGTACAGCCAAGGCGGCAGGACCCGGTGTCGGCAGCGCCGAGGGCTGCGCCGAGGCGGCAGCGGAGGCGGCCGCGGCAGGGGGCGCCCCAGCCAGCAACGCCTCTGGTGACGACGATGACGCTGATGGTGGTGCATTCTGAGGCGCAGAAGCTTTCGGGGGCCAAGTTCGCTGCCGCCGCAGCTGCGAGGGAGCGGAATGAGAAAGGTCTCGCCGCGTCGGCTCCTGCGGTTTTGGCTCACCTGCCACAGGAGTCGACGACACAATGCGTGAGCTCGCCTACACCTTTCTCTCCAATGCCTAGTTCTATTTCTTCAGCGTCTTGCGCTTCGACGGGCGAAGCATCGCTAGGAAGGTCCAGTATTGATTCGCTGAGGGAAGCCACTTGCACGGCGATGCCGGGCTCATCCGCGGAGGGTGCACCCCCAGTGAGTCATGATTCCATTACTTGCGCTGACGATCCGAACACATTTAATTAATAGGTTCGACAACGTCGCATGCAGGGGTGACAGAGCTGGCCGACATCCAGTTCGACTGGAATTAAAATTCCCAGTCATGGCTGAAGCAGATGTAGCTCGGCGTGACCTTCGAAAGCGGGACAAGTGTCGCCACGAGGGATTGCGTTTTCACGCGCGTCCTGGACGAGAAGATCGCCATTCCAAACGAGCTGATGCTAGTCATCAAGCCATGGCCAATGAGGGAGGTGAATGTGCCGTCAATCGAGTCGCCTTCAAGTTCGTCGTGTTGCATTCGTTTGCAGCATTCAGATAGTGGGGGCAGGCGAGGTTCACGCGATGGGTGGAGTGATGCTTGGTGTCATCTAGATGTATGGATATGCTGTGGCCTTGTCTGCTTCTTCGGCTTTAATACAATTGGTGGCACTGGTGAGAGGTTGGTCAGATCGCAGCACTTTAGGCGCCATGAACCGTGGTGGGAGACTTCAACATTGAAGCGCCAGCCGTCGCGGAGTCGACCTTCTCCGTTCGAGTGGGATGACACATTGTGGTTCCAGGTGCGCTGTGCACGTGCGATGTGAGGACAGAAGGTACGACAATCGACACCGTCGTGTTCAGCACGGCGGCGCTGGCGCACGCGAAGGCAGTCGAACCAGTTTTCTCGGCGCCGCGGAAGACTCGCTCTGGGCTGGCCATGCAATTCTGGCGATTCGGGGTCCGACTGGTGATTCGTACTCTGGCAATGGCGGCGAGGCTACCGCGGATGGCGGGACCAGGCGCGGCGCCGACAGCCCGCTCGAAGTCCGGCCGCGCCCGCGCCGAGCGCTGCGTTGCCGGGCAGGAAGAAGCAGCCGAGCGAGGGAAAATCTACCCTCAGTTATTCAGTCAGTGCACGTCAGCACTGTCCTCTGCCACCTCCTTGACCCCCCCCCCCCGCCCCGCCCGCCCCTCCGAAACCCCGGCGGCGATTCCACCGACTTCCAGGGAGTTTTTGAGACGCATTCAGTTTCTTCAGAGTAGGATCCCTAGCATCTGATCTAAATGTTTACCCCAGGCAGCACGCGCGCTCTTGACGTCGCGCAACGCAGGGGCTTTCTCCGCATGGGGCGCGTAGAGTAGCGGTTTGATATATATATATATGTATATATGTGTATATATGTAACTGTTCACATGCTATGCGTGTATATATATATATATATGCACGTTCGTGTACATACACATACACCTTTACATGTGCATATACATACGCATCTATCTATACATACACATGCACATATTCATGCATACAGGCATACATACATACACTCACATACATGCATGCATGCATCCATACATGCCGACATGCATACGGACAGCCCGTCAGTCATGAATACATACATTCATAAATGCATACATACATTCATACACTCATTCATTCGCACACACATACACATATACATACATCCACATAAACATACATACATGTATACATACATACATACATACATACATACATACACACAGACATACATACATACATATACACATACATACATACATACAGGCATACATGCATACATACATACATGCATGCATGCATGCATGTATGCATGCATACATACATACATATATACATACATACATACATACATACATACATACATACATACATACATACATACATACATACATACATACATACATACACGCATACGTCCATACATGCAGACATGCAGGCATACATACATGTGTGTTGTGTGTTCTTTTTGTGTTGTCGACACGTCGAACTTGCGCCTCGCAGTTCCGAACCTCGCTAGAGCACGGACGCGGTTGGAAGGGGCGACGTCAGCCTCGGCCAGGCGTCTGATTTGCGTTCCGCGGTTGCTTCGTGGGGGGCTCCGGCCCCGGGGGCTTGCGTCGGTGGTTCGGGGCCCCCCTGCTGGGTCCTTGAGCTCCACGGATGCCCCGGCCACTCCAGTTACTGAGCAGCAGGAAGATAATTCGACCCAGTCCTCGAGCCCCCTCGCAAGTAAGGCCCAGCTCGTTCATATTATTCCCAGTGAGTTATGGGGGGAAGAGAGGGCCCCCATAAGTTTCAGATCGACCCCCCCCCCGACCCACCACGCCACGCACGCGCGCGGGCGCACGTGCGCGCGCCCTGCATCGAGCACTGTGCGGTCCAGTCGACCCCGCAGGTTGCCAGGTCGTCGGCGGGGCGCATGCTTTTTTGGTTGCTACGTTAGAGGCCACGGTCCTTGGCCGCGATCAAGAGGAGCGACCGCGAAGGATTTCGCGGGCAGGCCATCCTCCTTCTCTCGTCCGTGAAGTACGGGTTAGCCAGGGATATATGTTGGCTCCCCAACGTGGCAGTATTTCCAGTTGGTTGGCCAGGCCACGCGCAATCTGACTGTCTTCGCGGGGGCTTACAAGCATCGCTGTCGCAGCGCCGGGCTTCGTCAGAAGAGATCAGAGTGAGGGGGCCGAACGGTCATTCACTGTCCCTGGGTGCGTGGCTGACGTGGGATTCCGCGATGCGGATTCTTGTTCCCCATATCCTAAGATCGGATTATTGTTATTACTCCGGCCACACCGTGCCTCTCATTATTGCCATGATGATGACCATGGTACGGTGAGAGTATTATGTGCATATGATGGTGATGGTGAATGATGGATGAGTATGATGATGCTGCTGCGGCTGGTGATGATGATGATTTTGAAAATGATGATGATAATGATAATGATAATGAGGATGATGATCATGATGATGATGAGCAGATGATGATGATGATGATGATGATGATGATGATGATGAGCAGATGAGCAGATGAGCAGATGAGCAGATGAGCAGATGAGCAGATGAGCAGATGAGCAGATGAGCAGATGATGAGGATGTCTCGAGCGGCTTGCTGGTTTTAGCACTCGTAAGGGGGCGGCCAGGGGTTTTGCACGGCCTCCATTCGCGCCAAAATGGCGGGGATGTCTCGAGCGGTTTGTTCGTTTGCATGCCCAACATCCTCCGCTGTCGGAGCAGAGTTGGAGGATGTCTCGAGCGAGGCGCTCATTTAGGGGGGGCCGCCAGTGGTATTGCACGGTTTCCGTTCGCGTCAAAATGGTGGGGTTGTCTCGAGCGGTTTGCCTCTTTGCATGCCCAGCATCCTCCGCTTTCGGAGCAGATTTGGAGGATGTCTCGAGCGAGGCGCTCTTTTTCGCCCCCCCAGGGGGGCCAGATTTTGAGGATGTCTCGATCGGTTTGCCTGTTTTGGTGGCAAGACTCGTGGGCACAGGTTCTCCCCGGGATGCCACAGGAGGCTCCAGCAGGCTCTAGGAGGCCCCAGGAGGCCACACAAGGTCCCAGGAGGCATCAGGAGGCCACAGTAAGATTCAAGTGGCCACAGGATGTCCCAAGAGGCTCCAGGAGGCCCCAGGAAGCTCCAGGAGGCGTCAGGAAGCCACAGGAAGCCCCAGGAGGCCACAGGAAGCGCCAGGAGGCCCCGGAAGGCAACATGAGGCCCCGAGAGGCCCCAGGAGCAGGAGGCCTCAGAAGGCAACAGGAGTGGTTCCAATCCCATGTGTTTCACGTAAGTATGCTCCTATAGATTGGGCCTCACCTGGAGCATGAATCCTTGATGTTATACGTATGTTTCTATAGATTGTCCTTCTCCTGTGTATACAACCCTAAATGTTTTACGTGTTCCTGTAGATGGGGCCGCCCCTGTGGCACGAGTCTGTGTTTTACGTGTGTTCCTATCGATTTCCCTTTTCCCGGGGCGCGAGCCCTACCTAGGAGGTCCCAGGAGGCTTCAGGAGGTCCCAGGAGGCCACGCGAGGCTGCAGGAGGCCTCAGGAGGCCACTCGAAACCCCAAAAGGCCCCAGGAGACCCCAAGAGGCTCTGGAGGCCCCAGGAAGCCCTAGGAGGTTTCAGGAGCCCCCAGGAGGCCCCAGGCTCATGCGCAGAGACGCGCTCGTACTACTGAGACTCATTCACACTCCAATTCATTCACAGTTCGATGAATGATCAGACCGTCACAACTCAAGCCCGCTTATATTCGAAAACTCTTGCGGCTAGACGCTCACGGCGGACAGGTCCACGCGAATAGATGCACATATGGGGAGCTCCACGCAGTGAATAATTGTTGTTTGTTTGTTTGTTTGTTTGTTTGTTTGTTTTTTGTGTTTGTTTGTTTGTTTATTTGTTTGTTTGTTTGTTTGTTGTTGTTGGCGTTGTTGGTGGTGGTGCTTCTGTTGTTGAGCATTCATTCCTAAAGACAAATTGTGGTTGATCTCCGGAAACGGTTCCGCGCGCACTCGTCTAGACGCCGGTACATGTTCTCTGAAAACGAGGCCCCCGCTCGAGCGTTAGCTTGAACTGTGGGCCCTTGGAGGCCCAGCTACGACAGCAACGGCTCCCGCTCGATACATCCTCACCTTACCCCGAGACACCCTGGCCAGAGAGGCCCCCGAACTCAGGAACGGCGCTCTCGCCCGAGACTGCCTCGCAATTCAATTAAGTCGGCGGATGCCCAGCCACGACGGCAAGGGCTCCTGCTCGATACTTCCTCACGGTTTACTCCGAGAGCCCCTGGCCAAGAAGGCCCCCGATTTCAGGAACGGCGCTCTCGCTCGAGACGCTCCCGTAATTCAGGAAAGTTGGTGGAGGCCCAGACACGGCGACAAGGGCTCCCGTTCGATATTTCCTCATCGGTATTCCGAAAGCCCCTGACCAGAGAGACCCCCGAACTCAGGAACGGCGCTCTCGCTCGAGACTTCTTCGCACCTCAGTCAGTGGCCGACCAGGAAGAGAGTCCTCCTCAAAGGGGGTGCAATCGAAGACGAAATGGGCGGGTATCGAGGGCTGGGATATACGCAATGTAAGACACTCGTTCCAGTAAGAGCGAACAGTCTGAAACTGATTGTTGTTGTTGTTGTATACTCAGCTCTAAAGAATAATTGTTGCTCGTCTCGGGAAACGGTTTCGCGCGCTCTCGCCTCGACGCGGGCTACATTTTCCTTGAAAACGAGGCTCCCGCTCGATCGTTGCTTTGAACCTAAATGTGGGCCTTTGGAGGCCCAGCTACGACAGCAACGGCTCCCGCTCGACTCTTCCTCATAATTTTCCCCGATACACCCTGGTCAGAGAGGCCCCCAAACTCAGCAACGGCGCTCTCGCTCGAGACCGCCTTGCAATTCAATTTAGTTGGCGGAGGCCCAGCCACGACGGCAAGGGCTCCTGCTCGATACTTCCTCACGGTTTACTCCGAGAGCCCCTGGCCAAAGAGGCCCCCGAACTCAGGAACGGCGCTCTCGCTCGAGACTTCTTCTCACTTCAGTCAGTGGCCGACAATAACGAGATTCCCCCCGAAAGGGGGTGCAATCGAAGACGAAGTGGGCGGGTATCGAGGACTGGGGTATACAGAATGCAAGACACGCATGCCAGTAAGAGCGACCGGTCTTGAAATGATTGTTGTTGTTGTTGTTGCTGTTGATGTTATTGTTGTTGTTGTTGTTGTTGTTGTTGTTGTTGTTGTTGTTGTTGTTGTTGTTGTTGTTGTTGTTGTTGTTGTTGTTGTTGTTGTTGTTGTTGTTGTTGTTGAATTCTCATTTATGAAAAATAATTCTTGCTGATCCCCCCCGCCCTGTGCACCTTGTATTTGTTCGATTGAAGTGTCCCTCCCGGGGCTCGCACCTGGTTTTTTATCAGGGAAAGTCTTGAGGCCCAAACTGTATCCTTGGTCCCCGGTTTAAAACAAAAACGGTTCCCGCTGGATACTTCCTCACAATTTTATAGAGTATCGCGCTCTCGCTGTGGACTTCCTGGCAATTTACCACCGAATCGCGGCTCCCGCTTGATACGTCTTGACAATGTATTGCAGAATCGCTTTTCTCGCTTGGGACTTCCTCGCAATTTACCACCGAACCGCTTCGCTTGATATTTCTTCAATTTCTTCCGATGCTGGTCCTCGACAGTCAGGAATCGCGCTCCCGCTACATATTGCCTTGCGGTTCAAGCAGGACTCACGCTTCAACGAACCGCCCGCTCGACCCGCCCGCCGGGGCCTGCCCGCCCGACCAGCCCGAGAATGACTGCAGTCGCCGCTCGGTGCCCTTCGCCCGCCTTCGATGCCCCTCGCTGCCCGTACTGGTTCCGCGGTCACCTTCGCTCGCTGCCCTTCGTGGCCCCGTTGCTGGCCCACGCTGGCTTTTCTCACGATTTACTTAGGAATCGCGCTATCGCTCGAGACTTCCTCGCGGTTCATGCAGGACCCGCGCTTCAGCAACCCGCTTGCTCGACCTCGTCGCCTGGGCCCGCCTTCCCGACCTGTCCGCTATGGGTCTGCCCACCCGATCTGCCCGTCTGGTTCTTCCACTTGTTTTCTGCTCCTTGATCCCCGCCTGCTAATTTCTCTTGTGTTCCATAACTGATAATTCTCCCTCCCCCTTCCACCCGTCCTCTCTTCCCTTGTCTGATGGCCTGCACTAAATACACGTGGCAGGTAAGGAAGATATACCCTCAAGGGGGTACGATCGAAGACGACGAGGGTGGGTACTGAAGGTTTGGGGTATACGTATTGTTTAGCACGTGAGCAAATAGGAGCGAACAGTCTTAAAATGTTCGTTGTTGTTGGTGCTGTCGTCGGTGAATGTTAATTATTAAACAGTTATGATTGTTGGACCCCCCCAGGCGCTTTGGCGTTCTCGCCTCGGCGCCAGCTACATTTCCATTGAGAATGAGGCTCACGCTCGAGGGGTTTGGGGGGCGCCCAAACTGGCCCCCCAACAAGATCAACGCTCCCGCTCGAGACTTTCTCCTTTCTTGCTCAGGGCCGGAGCTCTTGCTCGCCGCCGAAAGCCGCCGTCTCAACAAAACCAGGCGCTACCGCTCGAAACTTCCTCCCTTTTTACCTTCGACTGGCGCGCTATTCTTTCTCTCATCGGCGCCACCCCCAGCAACAACAACGCACCCGCTCGAGACCTCCTCTTTTTTTTACTCAAGGCGGTGCTCCTCTTCGCCGCCGAAAGCCGCTGTCCCGACAAAACGCTTCCGCCCGAGATTTTCTGCCGTTTTACGCTGGACTGGCGTCCTACTCTCTTTTGAATTGGCGCCGCTCCAAGCAAGAACAACGCTCCCGCTCGAGGCTTCCTCCCTTTTTCCTCAGAACGGTGCTGCCCCTCGCCGCCGACAGCCCCCGTCCCGACAAAACCACGGCTCCCGCTCGAGACTTCCTCCCTTCTTACTCAAGGCGGTGTTCCTTCTCGCCGCCACAACCGCCGTCCCAACAAAACCAGCGTTCCCGCTCGAGACTTCGTTTTGTTTTACGCTGGACTAGCGCCCTACTCTCTTCAGCATTGGCGCCGCTCCCAGCAACAACAGCGGCTGCTCGAGACTTTCCTCCCTTTCTATTCAGGGCCAGGTCCTTGCCTCGCCGCAGCCAGCCCCTAGCCGCACAAAGGCAATCCTGCCGCTCGATACTTCCTCGTGATTTACCCTCGGCTGGGGCTCCACTGGCGGTCTCGCATCGGCGCAGCAAGGCGCGGGCATTCGTTTTCGAGGCGGGATATGTTGAAATTTCTCGAAGGAGGTGTTTGCAAGACCTCATTGGGCGGGAGATCTGGGAATGGGAGTAACGGGCCCCGCTATAGAACAATAGTCCCCCATGATAGGGATGGTTACCATGATGGTCGCATGCTTCGTGTGGAAACATTTCGCATGAGGGTAAAATCATTGTTGGTGTCGTCGTCGTTGTTGTTGTTGCTGCTGTTGTTGTTGATGATGATGTTGTGATTGTTGTTGTTGTTGTTGTTGTTGTTGTTGTTGTTGTTGTTGTTGCTGTTGTTGTTGTTGTTGCTGTTGTTGTTGTTGTTGATGTTGTTGTTGTTGCTGCTGTTGTGGCGTCGCACCCCCCGCGACCCACCTGCGACCCACCCTGCGACCCGCCCGCGACCCGCCGCGACCGCCCCGCGACCCACCTGCGACCCACCCGCGACCCACCCCGCGACCCGCTCCGCGAATCGCCCGCGACCCACCCGCGACCCAACCCGCGGCAACCCTGCGACCCACCCGCGACCCACCCCGCCGCGACCCGACCACGACCCACCGGCGACCCAACCCGCGACCCACCCGCGACCCGCTTGCGACCCGCCCGCGCTCGCTGGTGCAGGCAGAATAGGCGGCATACCATCCGCCGTTGGAAGTACGTATTTGTAGATTCCCACATCCTGATTTACTTTCTGCGCCTTCCTACGTCACTTCCTGCTTTACGGTGTGGCTTTCCTTCTGACGTGTCACTTCCTGCTTTACGGTGTGGCTTTCCTCCTACGTCACTTCCTGCTTTACGTCACTTCCTGTGTCACTTCTCCGCCTTTCCAATCCTTTCCTACTTTACGGTGTGGCTTTCCTTCTGCCTTCGTCGTAAGTGGGCAGGTGGAGACTCAGACTACCTCCGACGCCTTCCCGCTTCATGGCTCGACCCCTTTCTTCCGACCGACGGGCATGCCGGTATCAACATAAGATGAGTTGTCGGAGGTCCGCGCTCTGTTTTCGGACGTCTCCGCTGGTTCTCGGCGGTTTCCTGGCTTCGGGACGCTCTCCGGCAGCTGCGCCTCGCCATCGGCCGTGGGCCTTCTGGGGGTGCCCAGATCGTCCGGAACGGCCGCCCGAGGCACGAGCTACGCCCCGAAGTTCATTGCGGACAGCTTCCGGAGGTCTTCGTTGATCTCTGGGATCGGCGCTGGACCCCCCTGGTGCCGCCTCCCGCACCGCCCCTGGCACGCTCAGCCCGCCAGGGAGGGGTTTCAGCAAGGGCTCCCTCGAGGGCGCGAAGTTATTCGCGCTTCGCGCTTCGCCGTCCTCCTTCCTTCTCCCCCTCCTCCTCGTCCTCCTCTTCTCCTCCTTGGGGGGCGGCGCGAGAGCGCGAAGTTATTCGCGCTTCGCGCTGCGCGAAGCGCGAAGTTGGGAGCCCTTGTTCAGAGCGCCCCTGCACATTGCCAGGGCAGGAAGATGCTACTGCATGGCCTGGAGAATAACAACGCATTGCATGGACATGAACGTTCGAAGGTCCGCGCGGACCTCCGACAGTTTGGTTGCTCTTCTGCTATAGCTATAGCTACGAGCCTAAGTTACTATCGGTCCTAAACTGCTATAGCTACGAACCTAAGTTCGCTCGGTTCCCAACCGATCTCTTCCTTCTCCTCCTCGCAGAGAGGTCGCTTGGTCCTGGTTATGGGAGAACGTGGAGCGCATGCTCAAGGCGCTCATGGGCAGGCCAGCGCAGATGGAAAGGCGCCAGCGGGCACGGCGTTTCATTATCCGTTTGCTGCTGCGTAACTATTATGCGCCTCCTGCTCCTCCCCATCATCATCCTCCTCCTCCTGCTTCTCCTCCTCCACCTCCTCCCACAAGGGCTTGAGCTATGTAATTGTAATCGTATGTATATATGTGCGTGTGTTTTACCCCACCATGTGTCTTCTCACGAGAAACTTTCGCGGACTGCTGATCCGATCCGATCCTCTTCCCTTAGATCTTTGTTTCAATTTGATCTTGTTCAGTCCCGGCTGTTGTCCTGGATGTCGGCTTCTGGGGCCCACTACGGGGCCCCAGGATCCTAAAATACGGGTGCGGGACGAAAAGCTGCCCACCCGGGAAGGGGTTGGGATTTCTGAGGCCGGGCACTGGAGAAACACAGTCAGACGTCGGCGTCGCCTACTTCCGGGGTTCCTGTGCTGCGCGGCGACTGGAGGGGGCAGGAGGCCAGGGCTGGCAGGACGAAAGAGGCGGGACGAGAGGCCTGGAGGAGGGAGAGGGGAACGCATCCGCAAGCAGACGGACCAGAACAAAGGCCACGAAAGAAGGGCCACTCGCGAGGAATGTATGGACACTACGGCGGCGACGCCGACCAGGCGACGGAGGAGAAGTGGTGCTGCGGTGGGAGGTGGTTGTCCGGCTTGGATTCGGCCTTTGTCGGATTGGTCGAATGTTTGGGCTTCCTCCTTCTCCTCCTCTTCCTCCTCCCCCTTCTCGTTTTCCTCCTGCTCCTCCTCCTCTCCGACTTTCCCAAGTCGCGCCAGCGCACACCCGTGCAGAAACGGGAGAGGCCGCATGTGAGCACCGACGGGGCAGCGAGTCACAGGCGACGGAGCCCCTATCTTATCCGACGCGTTTGCCACCCAAGGGGCGTGTGCGACGCATGCGTTCCCACCCGATCGGCCTGTCCACAACCATCCTCCTTTTTTTTTTCTTCCTCCGACTGAGGCATCGAGGCACTGGAGGCGATATGACCCGCCTGATGCAGCCCTCCCCCCCCAGGGCCGGTCGGCCCTGGGGGCGTGATCGAACTGAATGTCAGGCGACTTCTGGAGCGTTCGGTCCAGGAGTCTCCGGCTGGTTGGGACAAATGTGCAGGGTGAAGACAGACAGACACCTGGAGGCGCCAAGATGACGAAAGAGGACATGATAATCTCGGAGGTGAGAGAAGGAGAGAGGATCCCTCCTCCCCCAACCTCGTCCCCATCCCTCCCTCCTCTGGCACGGTTTTCCCGGGCAGCCGCGGGCACTCGCGGGGCGCGGGGTCGTCGGTGAGGTCGCGGGCAGGTCGCTGGCGGGTCGCGGGCGCGCAGAGGCGAGCGGCCTTCTAAGAGTGCCGGGTGTTTGTGGGAAAAGACGCAGGTTTTGTTCCGAACCTTCCCGCCTTGTGAGAACCCCCTTGTTTTTGTTTGGGGGGCCGCCCTCCTCAAGGCACCCTCTTCGCTCGCGACGCCAAGTTTTCTGGGGGGGGGGGGGGGGGCGTGGTCACAGGTGCAAGCCGTTCCATACGTGAAGATTTAGAGGTGTCGGGCGTCATACTCTTCGAACAAATCGTGTCCGGGACCCTTGGGTCCGCGGAGGCCCACCTGCTCCGAATGGTGAAAACCTCTCACGCGGAAGCCGTTGTTATTGATGATGATGATGATGATGATGATGATGATGATGATGATGATGATGATGATGATCATGATGATGATGATGATGATGATGATGATGATGATGATGATGATGATGATGATGATGATGGTGATGATGATGATGTTGTTGTTGCTTCTGCTTCTGCTGCTGCTGTTGTTGTTGCTGTTGTTGTTGCTGCTGTTGTTCTTGCATGTTACTTATAAAACAATTAGTGATGTTTGTGGGGGCGCCAAAACGCCCCCAACAACAACAACAGCAACAACAACAATAATAACGCTCCCGCTCGAGACTTTCTCCTTTTCCACTCAGGGCTGGTGCTTTGCTCGCCGCCGAAAGCCGCCGTCCCAACAAAACCAGCGCTACCGCTCGAGACTTCCTCCCGTTTTACCTTGGACTGGCGCGCTACTCTTTCTCTCATCGGCGCCGCCCCTGGCAACAACAACGCTCCCGTTCGAGACATCCTCGTGTTTTTACTCAAGGCAGTGCTCCTCCTCGCCACCGAAAAACGCCGTCCCGACAAAACCAGCGTTCTCGCCCAAAACGTTCTCCCGTTTTACGCTGGACTGGCGCCCTACTCTCTTTTGAATTGGCGCCGTTCCAGCAAGAACAACGCTTCCGCTCGAGGCGTCCTTCCTTTTTTTCCTCAGGACGGTGCTCTTCCTCGCCGCCGGCAGCCCCCGTCCCGACAAAACGACGGCTCGCGCTCGAGACTTCCTCTCTTTGGATTGGCGCGCTACTCTTTCTCTCATCGGCGCCGCCCCTTGCAACAACAACGCTCCCGTTCGAGACATCCTCGTGTTTTTACTCAAGGCGGTGCTCCTCCTTGCCGCCGGAAACCGCCGTCCCGACAAAACCAGCGTTCCCGCCCGAGACGTTCTCACCCTACTCTCTTCAGCATTTGCGCCGCTCCCAGCAACAACAGCGGCCCTGCTCGAGACGTCCTCCCTTTCTATTCAGGGCCATGTCCTTGCCTCGCCGCCGACAGCCCCCATCTCCACTAAGGCAATCCTGTCGCTCGGTACTTCCTTGTGCTTTACCCTTGGCTGGGGCTCCACTGGCCGTCTCGCATCGGCGCAGCAAGGCGCGGGCATACGTTTTCGAGGCGGGGTATGTTGAAATTATTCGGAGGAGGTGTTTGCAAGACCTCATTGGGCAGGAGATCTGGGAGTGGGAATAACGGACCCCGCTATGAAACAATAATCCGCCATGATGGGGATGGTTATCATGATGGTGTCATGCTTCGTGTGGAAACATCTCGCATGAGGGTAAAAATGATTGGTGTTGTTATTGTTGTTATTGTTGTTGTCGTTGTTGAACTCTCATTTCTGACCAATAGTTTTTGTTGATCCCCCCTCACCGGTGCATGCTGTTTTTTCTCAATCACAGTGTGCCCCTCGACGCTCGCACCCTGTTTTTTGAAAGGGGAAGTCTTGATGCTCAAACTCTGCCCCTGGCCCCCAGTTTACATCAACAACGTCTCCCGCCTGAGATTTCCTCGCAATTTAGCCAGGACCCCCGCTCCTGCCCCAGACTTCCTTGCATCAATTCAGGAATCGTGCCTCCTTACAATTTATTCAGGAATCGCTCTCCCGGCGCTCTGGAGTCGCGCTCTCGCTGGAGATTTGCTTGCAATTTGCTGTAGAATGGCGCCCTTGCGTTGGAATTCGCACAATTTGTTCAAGCGCCGCGCTCCCGACACCCAGGCACCCAGGAGTCGCACCCGTTGTGGACACATGTGCATGCCCTTCGTGGCCCCGCTCTCGCCGTTTGTGGCGCCCTCACTGACCTACGTGGCCCAGTTGCTACCCTCAGTGGCCCCATCGTTGCCTTCAGTGGCCCCGCTCTAGCTGCCCTTCGTGGCCCCCTGCTGGTTCGCACTCTTCGTGGCCCCATACGCATTCCCTTCGTGTCCCCGCTGTCGCCCTTCGTGGGCTACTTCGTGTCCTTCGTGGCCCTGCTGTCGTTCTCTCTTGCTCTTGCTTTCGCTCGCCGTCGTCGTCGACGTCGTCGACGTCGTCGTCGTCGTCAGAGTGGTCGGTCCCCTGTCCGTCCCTCTTGGGGTCGGGTCGACGGTCCGCGGCCGCCTCGCCGATCATCGCTGCCGCTGGCCAGGCCGACGGTCCGCGGCCGCCCCGCCGCTTGCCGGGGCCCGGCCTGCAGGGAAGAAAGGTATACCCCCCAAAAGGGGTTCGATCGAAGACGAAGAGGGCGGGTATCGAGGGTTTTGGAAATACGCGTTATTGGGCACTCGAGCAGAGAAGGGCGAAACGTTTTAAGATGATTGTTGTTGTTGTTGCTGCTGTTGTTGTTGTTGAATTTTTATTTCTGAAGAATAATTATTGTTGATCTCCCCACCTGTGCACATGGTATTTTTCAATTGAAGTGCCTTTCCCGGGGCTCGCACCTTGTTGTTGTTGCTGCTGCTGTTGTTGCTGTTGTTGCTGTTGTTGTTGTTGTTGTTGTTGTTGCTGCTGTTGTTGTTGTTGTTGTTGTGTTTGTGTTTATTGTTGTTATGATTGTTGTTGTTGCTGCTGTTGTTGTTGTTGCTGTTGTTGTTGCTGCTGCTGTTGTTGTTGTCGTTGCTGGTGTTGGTGTTGTTGTTGTTGTTGTCGTCATCGTCGTCGTTGTTGTTGTTGGTGGTGTTGCGCGGGGGCCCAGTTGACACCCGAGTCCTCCTCGAGTGACAAGGAAGGATGTCGTTCGAATGCGGATTCATCCGGCAGGCTTCGCCAGAGGAGCCCGGAAATGGCAACTCCCAGGTGGCGACCAGCCTGAAAGTCAGGCGGCCCGGCACCCCCACGGCGGCGCAGAAGAAGCGCAGTGCCAGGGCTCGGATCGGCACCGCCCCCCAAAGCGGTCATCCGAAGCCTCCGGCGAAAGCGAACGCTATGCGGGGGGTCGGGTCGGGCGAAAGGGGGGGATTGGGAAAGGGGGGGTTACGAAATTTGCTGCATGCAGCTGGTTTCGGCCTCACCGAGGGGCCCACTCCTCGATACATGGGCGCCTCCCGGCGCCGGGAGGCGCCGGGAAAATCAGCTACGTGAGCTGATTCTCAACCCCCCCCTTTGCTATCCCCCCCTTTCGCCCGACCCGAGGGGGGCGGGGGGGGGAGTCTCGCGCTCCAGAAAGCAAGTGAGAATTTCATGTATCTTCCTCGGTGGATGGTGGCGGCAGACCGGCAGAGCTCGGCGGAAGCAGAACGGGGGCGCCTTCGCCGGCGGAGGGTCGAAAGATGGCGGGAGTAATAGTTCGTCATGCAAGAGACGTGCCTCCCCACATCCGAAGTGGGTCTCTCGTTGTCTCTGGACATCACTCGCAGTACTTCTCCTCCTCCTCTCCTCCTCTCCCTTCGCACCATCCCTCACGCAACCATTCACACACCACCATCACAACAACACCAGTCTCCTCAGATTCGTTCACAGCATCCTCATCATCGGCAGCATCAGGAGTATTATCATCATCGTGATCACTATCATTATCATTATCATCGTCATCATCATTCATCCAATCACCTACACCATCATCATCAGTCAGACAATCATCACACGTTCAATCTCCCACGTATCCAATTCATCGTCGTCAGCATCAGCATCAGCATGATCAAAATATCGCTGATCATCACCACCTCGCCATCACCATCACACTTTCACATCGTCATGTTCCACGTACATACATACATATGTACACACATACATACATCTTAAGGAAGTCTCGAACGCGAGTCCCGTCTGTGAGTGAATTTCGAGGAAGTGTCAGGCGGGAGCCCCCCCCTCCCTAAGGGGCCCACAGGTCATGTTATTGATCCGAGCGGCTCATCCGAACCTTGTAACTGTCGTCATTTTTTGAATATGGAGGAAGTCGCATGCGGGAGCCTCGCCCGTGAGCGAGATGCGAGGAAGTCTCAGGCGGGAGCCCCCTGCAGTATGGGGCCCGCAGATCATGTCGTCAACCCGAGCGGGTCATCCGAATCGTGTACCTGTCGTCAGTTTCGGGCCCCCGAGCTCTGAATCTGGAGGAAGCCTCGTGCGGGAGACGCGCCCGCGAGCGAAACGCGAGGCAGTCTCGGGCGGTAGCCCCCCCCCCGTATAGGGCCCGCAGATCATGTCGCCATCCCGAGCCCATCAACCGAATCCTGTAGCATCCGTCACTCTCGGGCCTGCGCCAGGGCGAGAAGGAGAATGAAGCAGAGGAGGCCGCAATGGCGCCTCACAAATCACGAGGACGACGATGACGGTCATTTCGAGATCAGCCAGGGGTTTCTCTCCTGCGGCGTCCTGCAGTCGGAGTGGGTCATTGTTCTGTCACTTTCGGCCGACCCGGTCAGAAAACTAAACTCGGGCGAAGAGAACTATGCACATGCACCGATCCTGGCAAGGCAAATCCTTGACCCAGGATCGGTGCATATGCCTTCCTGGCCAAGGCAGGAGGGCGTATGCACCGATCCTGGGCTCAGGATGGGCCTGGCCAGAATCGGTGTATGTGCATAGTTCTTTTTCCTCTATAAACGGCCCCTTTAGCCTCGCTGCCCTTCCTTTTCGGCGATCCGATCACGGATAACCGCGGGTCGCTCTCTAACGGGGCCGCCCCCGCGCAGACCGCCGTGGTTGCTTCTCGAAGCTCTGGCAGCCGCACGGGCTCCGGGGCCTGATGTGGGCACATTTCGTGCGCCGCACGCGGCACGTGCACATCCGCGAGAGGGGGGGTGCAGTCCCCGCAGCAATCTGGACAGAGCGGTCGCACCTCCGCTGTACATGTCAGGCCCGCATTCCGTTGCCACCTTAGGAGTGTTCTCTCTCAAGAGGAAAAGAAACACACAGACACAATTAATCCTCGATTCCCAGAAAATATGGGGAAATATGGGAAGTGGGGGGGAAGACAAAAACCCAGAAAATATGAGAAACTATGGGGGATATTTTTATTTGTGTGTGTTTATGTGTGTGTCCCAGTTCCCCTTCACTCTTGCGCGCAGCTGCCACACACCATGTAGAAAAGCAGTGGCAACTCCTCATCGCCGACCTGTTGTACTGGCTGGCTTGTGCACGTTGCAGGGGGCATCGGCGCCAGCAGCGTGCGCAGACGCTTGGGGAGACCTCTGCAGCCCACCTCAGGTCGGTCCTGGGTGGGTCCTCCGTGAAAAGAAGGGCCGCTGCCACATCTGTGCCCCCACAGCCAAGGGTCCCAGGGCATGCCAGCCAGTCACTGCGGCCACGACCTTAAGCGGTCGCTCACGCCTCGGTGGGCGCTAATGCTGCAACCTGGGAAAACACGGCAATGTCGCCGCAGTACGAGACGCGCCACCGTTTCGATTCTCTCGATCGAACTCTTCAGTTGCTGCCCTCTCCTCCGAGGCATCGGGATGGAGTTCGAGAGCTCTCTTGGTCTCGAGGTCCGCTCGCCAGTTCGCCTGGCCTGTCCACCTCTCGGGGGGTGGCAACATATCTATATCCTTAGCTTCTTATGGGCAGGGTGTGAACAGTTGGGGCATATTCGTTATTGCGCATATGCAGTGCGGCACCGCTTCTCAACCCCTCATCGCGTTGCTTGGATAACAGCTGTGCATCTGGACTCACATTGTGCAGCTTCGCTGCAGTCGTACAGTCACTGCACAATGCTGGCCCGAATCTGGGCACCCAAACCGGCAACAGGGCCACCTGCAATTGCTCCGCAGTTTGACTCGTCTGTGGCAATATCGGCCGTACAACTCCGCGGGCAACACACACACACATACATATATACATACATATTTATATATATATACATATATATATATATGACCTGAGTATACATGCATATTAACACATGGGTGTGCGCCCCTTGATCTTCAAAGTACGCCCACGATTACGCTGCACGGGATGCTGCATTATTCGTATGTCTGATACGCGGCCGTCACCCGCTTGAGAAAGTCCCGAATCGTGGATTTTTGCATGAAAGAAGCGATGATCCCGCTCATCATAACTTACAGGACAGTCTCTTGCTGTTCTGACACTCGGGGCCATTCAGCAGCAGGGTTGTCGGAGCTTGAGCGCCTGGTAGCAATCGGGGATCCCCGCCCCCCAGCACTTTCGAAGATCGCGTCGAGCGCCATTACTGCATCCCTCGTAGCCTTGGACGTCCGCATGCTGGCACCCGTACTTCCTATGACCTACCGAGTCTGGCTCTTGGTAGTGGGGGCGCAACCGAACGTGTGAGGTAGCCCGACTTCTGGGCGTGGTCCTCCGTCCAGAGGCCCTCATCAACATTCCGATATCACGAAATCATTGTCTTGGGCAATGGACCCAATATTTTTGACCCCTCCTTTGGTGATCCTCCTCATCGGTCCCACAGACACACTACACTTGCCACATGTTCCCGACCAAGTTTGATCCCCAGGACCCTCGCATGATGCCTCTGAGTCCCCATCCTTAACCACTGAGCCGCCATCGAGTGGGTGGTGTACAGCATCTCCACGTCCAAATCATGAGGCCAGTCCAGCGGGGAAAAGGCTTCCCATCCAATCCTCTCGAGCGAGAGGTACATATTGCTAAAGGGTCCTTTACTCTTAGCTGTTAGCATACGTGTGTCCTCGCGGCGCCACGCCGTGCCTCATGCTGCACAGTTCCTGGAACGAGGAAGTTTACTGTAGTCGCGTCGTGGCTTTCCATACTGGGTGTGCCCGAGCAAGCGCTGGCGCAATCATGCTTCTCTACAGCGGGCCCCCCAGCAGCGCAGTCCTAGCCCCCAGAAGCGTTTCTGGCACTGGCCGTGAGACTCGCTGTTTTTCCATATGCCTCCTCGCCTGGGCTGCCTCGGAAGGGAGGGCATCCGGGAAGCTAGCTGGCAGGCCCGAGCCAGGCTCTCCCTGGCCTGTGCCGGCGGCGAGGAGCTCCCACCGCCCCAGATCCAGCATTGTTTGTGCAGCGGTAGTAGGGCGTGCTGCGACGGGGCGCGAGATGGACGTCATCATGCCCAGGGCATCAGGGCCCCCTCGCCTTCCATTCCCTCCGCTCCCCCCAGTTCTTTCCACCACCTTCTCCTCCTCCTCCTCATCCTCCTCATGCTCATCTCTCTCCTCCTCATGTTCATCCTTCTTCCCCTCCTCCTCGCTCGACTTCCTCGCGGGGAGGGAGACTGGATAGGTGCCTCGACCGGCTCTGGTCTGGCCTCGACGAGTCCTCCCAGGCTTTCGTGCGGCGCGAGGTGTACTCGAAGTTCTTCGCCTTGGCTCCCGCCGGCCAGGACCTCTTCGGGGAGAGGGGGGTGGAAGGAGGAGGAGGAGGAGGAGCAGGAGCAGGAGGGAGGAGGAGTAGGAGGAGGAGGAGGAGGAGGAGGAGGAGGAGGAGGGGGGGAGGAGGAGGAGAAGGAGGAAGAGGAATAATAATAAGAATATAATAATAATATACTAATAATAATAATAATAATAATGATGATATTAATAATAATGATAATAGTAATAATAATAATACTAATAATAATAAGAATACTAATCAGATAATGAGAAACGAGGAGGAGGAGGAGGAGGAGGAGGAGGAGGAGGAGGACCAGGCAGAGGAGGAGGGCCAGGATGAGGAGGAGGACGAGGAGGAGGCGAAGAAGCAGGAGGAGGAATGGGAGGAGGAGGAGGAGGTGAAGAAGCAGGAGGACGAGGAGGAGGTGGAGGACAAGGAGGAGGAGGGGGAGCAGGATGAGGATGAGCAGGAGGAATCATACTAATGAACATAATAATATGAAGAAGAAGATAAATAATAATACGCATATGACGAAACATAACAATAATAAGAGGAGGGGAGGAGGAGGAGGAGGGCGATGATGAGGAGGAGGAGGAGGAGGAAGCGGACGAGGAGGAGGCTGAGGAGGAGGAGGAGGAGGACAAGGAGGAGGAGGAGGGAGAGGAGGAGGAGGAGTGGGAGGAGGAGGAGGAGGAGGAGGAGGAGGAGGAGGAGGAGGAGGGGGATGATGAGGAGGAGGAAGAGGACGAGGGGGAGGCTGAGGAGGAGGTGGAGGAGGAGGAGGACCAGGAGGAGGAGGAGGAGGATGATGATGATGAGGAGGAGGAGTGGGAGGAGGAGAAGGAGGAGAAGGAGGAGGACCAGTGCAAACCCAAGTTTCATCAATGATGTTGGAATAAACCCTCCCTCCAAGCTCCCTCATCAAAGGCCCCTTATATCAGGATTCACTTCCACAGGGAAGTGCCTTGTTGGAAGGCAACCGTTTGAAGACCCTGAAGCGTGCCAAAACATTGTTGTCGGAATTCCAACGCAACGGATCAACTTGACTGGTGCGACTTGACGATCTTGAATCGTGACAAAACGTCATTCTTGGGACTCCAACACCGTGAATCAATGTGCGTAACTGTTGCACTCTCATAATCTTGAATTCTTCCAAGACGCCATTTCTGGTACGTTGATCATGGGGACCCGTGGAACCCTTGCAAGTTTGGAAAACGAATGTGTGTGGCGCTAAGATTTGAGCCATATTTTGGAAAGGAGCCGCCCTCAATCCGTGAAACCCTTGCAACTGTTAGAAGCGAGTGTTCGCGGCGCTAAGGCGAGAGCCACATTTTGAAAGCCACCCGCCCTCGAGCCGTGAAACTCTTGGCACATGTTTGAAACGAATGTTCCCGTCGCTAAGGCGAGAGCCACATTTTGAAAACCACCCGCCTTCCATACGTGAAGCTCTTGCAAATGTTTGTAAGGAATGTTCGCGGCGCTGCGGCGAGAACCACATTTCGAAAACCACCCGCCCTCCACATGTGAAATTGTTGCCGATGTCAAGCTTCAGGGTCATAAAGGGTGAGGAAGTCTCAGGCGAAACGCCTGGCCCGCCCTAAAAATTGGTTTCAGGGTGCGACGGGGAGAAGGTGTTTATAAGGAAAAGGAGTGGATGAGGAGGAGGAGGAGGAAGAGGAGGAGGAGGAGGGAGGAGGAGTCCTGAGGAGGAGGAGCAGGAGGGACGAGGAGGGAGGAGGAGGAGGAGTAGGAGGGAGGAGACGGGAGGAGGAGGAGGAGGAGGAGGAGGAGGAGGAGGAGGAGGAGGAGGAGGAGGAGAGGTTGGGGGCAGGAGGTTCCCTCCTCCCTTCGTCTTCGTCGCCGTCGCGGGAGGGGAAAAAAGCGGGCGTCGCAGAGGGAGGACCTCCTCAGAGGAGTGTGGTCCCGTGCCACGGGTCCTTGGTCGTGCTGCGTCGAGCAGGGACCGGGGGCGCGCGACCCAGGTTCTTGGCATCGCTCGGACGTGTGCATTTCTCCTTCGGCGAGGACCATCGAGGAGCATCCTTGATCATTTGGCGGGAGAACCACGCACGAAACCGAAAAAAAACACAGGGAATGGACGTCCGAGCGATGGCGAGGGTTGCCATGTTGGCGGCGGATGGTTCTGTGGTTGCCATTTGGGTGGCAGCTGGTCTCTTGGGCTTTACGCCGATGGCTGGGCGCCGTTGAAGCCGTCGTGGTGGCCGCGGCCGTCGTGGCGGGTGTCGACGAGGACGTCGAGGAGTCGTCGTGTAGGCCGTCGTGGGAGAGCGCGTCGAGTGGGAGAAGGGCCAATGTTGGGTCCATGGTGATCTCCTCCAGAGAGCGCGGAGGGACCCAGTCGGCGCGGCTGTCAGGGTCGAGGTCTCCCACGCGGCGGGTGCATCGTCGGCAGTGCCGGTCTGGGCTCCCAGGCGCTGTTACACCGCGAATGCCGCCAGCTCGACGATTGAGATGTTCAGGAATTCGAATTGGGTGCTCGAAGAGTGCTCGAGGAAAACATGTCGAAAGCGGCCTGGGCACCCAACCGTCGCCACAGCGTCGAGGTGCGCCCTCGTAGTGTCTGGGGTCGCCTCCTACAAGTTAGCATAGGTGTCGGGTTGGTCATCGAGGCCCTCGCCGAAGATCTCACATGAAAGAGGTTGCTGTGCCACGTGATGGGCTGGGGCAGGTCGGTCGGTGCGTCCTCGCGCCCGTCTTGGCGGTTGACGGCGTCGGCGGCGCAGTGGGGGGCGGGCTTCGTCGTGGTCGTGGCCGTCGTGGCGGGCGTCGTCTTCGTCGCTGTCGAGGTGGGGCCGCCGTGGGGAGCGGCCGTGGGGTCCGTCGTGGGGGCCCGTCGTGGGTGCCGTCGTGGAGGCCGTCGCGCAGTGGCCGTCGTGGGGGCAACCGTTGCGGGGGATGCCGTGGTGGTGGGCCGTGGCGGCCATCGGTTTGGGCAAGGGGCCGCGGGGTGAGGGGTCGTGGGAGCCGCGGGGTTTTGGGCAGGGCGTCGCAGGGCCGTCGCGGGGGGGGGGAGGGGTCGAAGGGGGCAGAGGGTCGTGGGGGGGTCGTGGCGCGTTGTGGGCGCAGCAGGCGCACGCCAGGATCGAGGGCGGGGGCAGGAACGCCTCGCTGTCGCCGTGGTTGGCGCTGGCGTCGAGGGTGGGAGGCCTCGTGGCGGTCGTCGTCGCCGTCGTGGCGTGCGTCGTCTTCGTCGCCGTCGGGGGAGTTGTCGGGGGAGTCTCTGGGTGGGTCGCGGGGGGGGTCCGCGAGTGGGGTGGCCAGGGTTGGCGTCGAGTCGGCCGTAAGGTTGGCGGTCGGGTCGTCCGTTCTGTGGGCCATCCGGCCGTCCGTGAGGGTAGCGCTGTCCTGGCAGAGTCCCAGCAAGTGGTCGGGCGTGGGGTGTGCGTCGGGCGAGGCGTCGGATAGGCAGTGGGGTGGGGCGTCGGTCTGGGCGTCAGGCAGGGCGTCGGGTGAAGGGTCGGGCAGGGCTTCAGGTTGTGCGTCGTCTCCGTCGCCGCGGCGGTCGTCGTCTCCGCCCTGGTCGGCGGTCGGAGGGGCCGATGGGAAGGCCTCGGGGTGCGTCGAAGTGGCGTCGAAGGGGCTTCCGTCAGGGACACCTTCGGGTGGGCCGTCAGTTAGGGCGTCAGTGGGGGCGTCGGGTATGACATCGGGCAGAGGGTCGGGAAAGGCTTCGGGCAAAGAGCTGCGCAGGGCGTCGGGGAGGCCGTTGGGCAGGGGGTCGGTCTCAGCGTTTGGGAGGGGGCGTCGGGGAGTGGCGTCGGATAGGCCGTCGGCCGGTCCGTTCTCGTGCCCATCTTGGCGGTCACCAGCGTCGGCGTCGCAGGGGCGGCAGGCTTCGTCGTGGTCGTCGCCGTCGTGACGGGCGTCGTCGTCGCCCTCGGGTTGGTGCCGTCGTATGGGCATATGGGCCATCCTGGGGGCCGCCGTGGTGGACCATCGTGGGGTCCGTGGTCGGGGCCGTCTTGGGGCCGTCTTGAGGGGGGGGCCGACATGGGGCCCGTCGCATCGTGGCCGTCGTGCTCGATCACTTTGGGGACCTGGATGACAGCTTACTTGTATCGGCGGCAAGCGAGGAGCGGAAGTGAGAAGGAGAAGGCCTTCTCACAAGGCGTCGGGACTTCTCAGAAGCCCTCTCCTTATCACCTCCCCACTGGCTCCCCGCCGATTGTAGGTCGTGGCGGTCGTGCCCTCTGTGACGCACATGCTGTCTTCGTCGTCATTCTACGTGGAGACGTTGATAAACGAGTGCGGGTTCCCATCGTACTGGTCATGCTGTTGCCTGCCTCCCCCGCAGCTCCTTGTCCCACGCGCGGCTGACAAGGGCGATGCCGGCGCCGCTGGTGGAGTCCCACCTCAAGGCAGCATAACCAATGCGGTTGAAGGCCTTCCGCGGGACCACTGGGAGCGTTTTGTGAACCCTGGTGCCCCCCGAGGCCTCGGTTCCGAGGTGAGGCCCGGCAGTTGTCCCACAGGTGTGCCGCTGGTTGGCGTCGGCGGGCTCCCAGCCTGGGGGGGCCCCGAGCGGGACGAGCGTGCGCTTCACCGTGGGAACCACGCCCGCCATGGCGCGGCGGGCGCCACGCTTGGGCGCCGCCACGAGCGGACGGGCGGACGCGCCCCGATCGCGCGGGCCTTCGCGCTGGACACCCTCGCCTGTCGCGCTGCATGTGCCAGGGGGCGGCGACGGAGGCGCCGCCACCTGTGCCGATCCACGAGATCCGCCCGACGAGAGTCTATTGTTGCGCATGTCGACCTTTCTCTAGGTGCGAAGATTGCTGCATGCAGCTGGTTGCGGCCCCGCCGCCTGAAACACCATCCACAGGAGCTGATTCGCCAACCCTGCCTCTGTTATCCCCCCTCATCCACCCGACCCGAAAAGGAGAAGGGATGGGAGTGAGTAGTAGTAGTAGTAGTAGTAGTAGTAGTAGTAGTAGTAGTAGTAGTAGTAGTAGTAGTAGTAGTAGTAGTAGTAGTAGTAGTAGTA